GTACTCTCTCTCTCTCTCTCTCTCTCTCTCTTGACAAGGTTATCTAGAAATGGAACTTGAGACTTCGTACTATGAAAACCCAGCCTCTACTGTCTTGACCCAACCCCGATTCTCTCTCTCACCATATTTTTTACTAGAGGTGATCCTCTTCGTTGCCACCTGGTTATTTTCAATGTTGTTGGATTCGCTTCGGAGTCTTCTTCATGGTGAGAAAAATGAATTAATATGGCCGATTAGGGAAAGATTTTGGACTTTTTTTAATTTAATAAAAAAATTAAATATTTACATATAAAAGTTAAAAATAAAAATTTTAAAAAAAATAAAAAATACTTTTAGATAGAGATTTATTTGCTTCAGCGAAAGAGGTTGAAGTTCTGGCCGAATCGGCCCGAAGCATACTCGAATATGACCAAAGTAGCACCAGGCTTTGTTTTGCTTTGCTTCGCTTCGATCTAAGCCAAAAATCTGAAGGCTTCGGCCTCTTCGGCTGAAGCGAATCGAATTTGACAACACTGGTTATTTTTTATTTTGCTGCCTGTGGCGATAGAGAGAGTACTATAAATAACATATTTTTGAAGTATTAATGAGGTGCTTTTGTTGATAGATAAGTTGTCAACCTTATATTGGTAAGGCACACTTCAAATTTCTATAAAAAAAGTTGTTCTGATGCTAAAATACCCTCCAATTGATCTTCTCGAACTCGATATGTGCGGATACGGAAGAAGAAGAAAAATAATTTCAAGTCTTAAAAATGGTGCATCATTTTTATCGAACTCGATAGAAGAAGAAAAAAAAGAATTTCAAATCCTAAAAATAGTATACCTTGTCCTTATGGAAAAAACAAGTGTGGAATTTTTGTTCTCTCTATTTCATTCATCCATTGACATTGCTGATAATCCTTTTTAAATTTGAGTTTCATCTCTGTTGAGAGACAAATGTGATCTTTAGATAGCGCTATTAGCTCTGTTTTGAAACAGTATCAAAGTTCCATTTTTATGTGTATCCCTACCACATTTCATCCCTTTCAGTTCCAAAAATTTCAGTGGAATAATCATTCAGTAATCTTTCAAACATCAAATTTTCCAGGAGTGAATTTTAAGTCTGTTTGGTTGGACCACTAAACATGACTAATTCTCTGTTCATAACACACTAGTTTAGGAAGTATTTCACAATATGTTCTCTTCATCTATTCACGAACACCAGTTATTCGGAAAATGTAAATAGCTGCTGAACTGAATCCCTTTCACAATATAAATACAGGCTTTGCTTTCAGTTATGATTTATGCTTGACAATGGTGCATCTACTCAACTGCTCAGTCCTTTCAAAATCCCCCCAACAAAATAGAGAAGCATACAAGCATATATGGTGGTCATTGTTGAACTACTTCAAAAATAAAGAATAAAAAATACCCAAGCAATTTGTAACGTTATACATTAGTGGGCATCCAGAGGCCTAGACCTTGTATGCCCATAACTGTCTTAATTGTCTGGTTTGTTGGTAGAAAAACCAACACAGCCAAGACTTGTCCGTACATTTACTTTGTTTACTAACAAAATTTTACATTTTAGTGCAAAATATAATTTTCCATTATATGTCTCCAAGCAACTTAATGGAGTAGTTGTAGAACTCATGGGATGAGTAGATTATGAGCAAGGTTCAAACGCTCCTGATGGTATTTTTTTTAATTTAATATAAATGCGTATTAAAATTTATTCATTGTTTTGAGGATAAGTTTGTGGAGAACTTGTGAACTTTTGAAATATATTCTATTTTTTTTAACTTTTAATTTAATATAAATGTGTATTAAAATTTATTCATTGTTTTGAGGATAAGTTTGTGGAGACCTTGTGAACTTTTGGAATATATTTTATGTTTTTAAAGTCTACTATTCTTTGCTTTTATTTATTTTTTGAAAATCCAGCCCTTCCAATTCGTCTGAAAGTTGAACCAATTTAATTAGATGAGACCCCAATTTAATTAGATGAGACCCCTTATCAGTTTAGTGGCCGGTTTGATCATAAAAACATTAGTACATCTGTTGTGGGCATTGGAGCACTCACCTTTTTGCCATGAAAAGATAGCCCACCAGGTCACCATTCCTAGTGAAATCATGACTAATATATATATCCGTTAATTAAATCTTTGAACTTGCTTTTCTTGGAGACAGTATTTGTGTTAAGCACAGTTCCAAGAATTACAAAGAAATTAAAATGTGTAAAATATTATGATATTAAATATTGGAAATTTGTTGCATCCCTTCACCTACAGATGAAAGACTTCCCCTCCAAGATCTTCTTCTTCTGCTCTGAGCCACCACCTGAAGGCGGGGAGACCTCGATAGTTCTGAGTCATGTTGTTGTTGAGAAAATGGAGGAAGCCATGCCGGAGTTTGTCAGCAAATTGGAGAATGTCGGGGCTGTTTTGCGGCTAAAAACTGCAAAAGAGAACTCCTCTGAGAAAGTTGTAAGCAAGACATGGCAATGGTTGTTGCAGACTGAAGACAAAGTTGAAGCAAGAAGAAGGTAAGGGAACCAAGCTCCATTGACCTCCCCTTTTCAATTGAAAAGAACTCTTACAACTCTCACTTTAAGATGGAAAGAATTACCAAACCAGTTTATATCATGGCAAAATCAACTATGTTTTCTAAGAGATTGAAAAAATGTGTTTCATGGAGCCCTAGCCAAAAGCTACATAATATGGGACATATTATTTTTTAAGCATGTCAATATACAAGCGCACAACACTCGTGTTTGACACTAAAAGGTATATGTACATACTATGTCTGAAGTTCTGAATGACGAAAGTTGAGATTGATATTTCTAACACTTGTAATTCCAGTTGGAAATTTAAAACATTATGGATATATCATTTTTTTCAACTTTTAATGAGATCCAAAAATTGATACCCAAAAGATCCAATAAACTTCAATATTCTTGTTTTGCCCCAGGGCTCAGCTCAAGGTTGGATGTAGCTCCCTAGAATTCCTAGATGATGGGACTGCAGAGTTTGTTTATGGCCCCTTGAACCCTATAAGAACCTATGAAGGAAAGAGGGCTTGGTTCTACCCAATTCTAGGCTACACCAACAACCCCGAGGACATTGATGTGCATTTTGGTGATGGGACTCCACTCCCTGTCGGAGCCCTGGAAATCTATCGTAAAATCTTGGACGTGAACAGTGTAGATCTACAGTGGCAAAAGGGCGACGTCTTGGTGGTAGACAATCTGAGTGTTCAACATGCTCGGAGGCCAGGAAAGCCGCCTCGGGTTATTTTAGTTTCAATATGTAAATGAATCAGGACTCAATTTGGGTTTCAAGAACATGGCTTAATATGTTCTGATCATTAATATCATGTTCATATCAGTAGACATACATTGACAAGAACATAGCATAGTTGGTGCTCATTGCACCTTGAAGTTGTACAATATTTCTTTTGCATTTTCTCTTGTTGCCTATCTTTTTTCCATTGGTACTTTTGTCATGAAACTACGAAAATAGATTTTTTTTTTATTGGTTTTTTTCTTTTTGTCTTTTTGGTAAATATTGTCAGAAGAGTGTTTGTGGATAATAAGGTAGGACTTTTGATGGTACTGAGTCTTCCTTTTTTTTCTTCCTTCTCACTTTTTTTTATCCACCCTCGTTTTGCTCTTTACATTGCTATTTACATGGGGAGAAACATGATTTAGGAAAGCATTTTATAAAGGGATTGGCACGGCCAACCACCATCACCAAATGGTCGAGCCCCAATAAACATAGTTGGAGATTTTCTCTGTCAAGAAATTTTCAGACCATCTTCAGTCACCCACGAGATCACTTCTATTACAGAAAAAATCCAAAAAAAAAATCAATTCTTCCTCAAACTCTTGACAGTGCATTTAATGGAAAATCAAATCCGAGGGTGGGATAGACCAGGACCTTACCTGACTAGTTATGAGTTTGACCAGACCCTTGTCGGCTAGAAAAAATAAAAAATTAGTTTAGTTTGTATTTTATATTAGGGTGTCATTTGTATAGAGCCGAGGCTCTAGACAATCAAATCAGAGCCCACCTTCAAATAGTGTCGAGAAATATGATTTCAATACTGGAAATTTTTTATTGGTATTAAAATATATTTTCATCTTTAATTATAAAATTTAAGGCCTCCAAAAATAGTGTAGATCGAGTAGATCTATGAAAACTTGAATAACTTAAAAATTGACGGTCCAAAATGCGTTACAAGATGCACTATTTCCAAAACTTGAAATACTTTTTTTTTCTCAAGTCCATTCATCTTGATGTTGAGATAATCAATTTGAGGGTATTTGGGCATCAAAACATCCTCTTCTAGTGAAATTTTTGATGTAGGCTCTAATTTGATAGTTTAGAGCCTAGGCTCTAGATAAATTTTTCCCTTTATATTAGTAATATGTATTTGAGCAATGATCCAATGCAAGTCGTATCATAATAAAATGCAACGTCACTTCTAGAAAACCATGTTTGTGGTATTTATATGACCCCAAATTAATGCAATAACACTTCTAGAAAACCATGTTTGTGGTATTTGTATGACCCCAAATTTTGCACACACACTCTCTCCATCTCAATAATCAATCCCCCAAAAAAAAAGTTCATTTTGAACCCTAGATATGGTCAAAATGAGTCCCTTTCAAAAACGAATCTAGACCATTCATTTTGTGAATTTCAAGATCTTATCCTTTATAAACTCAAAATCTTTTTTTATTTTTTAAGATAATTCATCTAGTGATAATAAAGCTATCCAAAAAATTTGGAAATGAAACTAAGACCTAGATCTAAGCATCTCACAAAAAATGAATGGCATATGTTAATTGGGCTAAAAAATTACTTTTTATATTGTATTTTCAATTTTTTCATTGTTTGTGATTGTTCATTAGAATGAAAAGAATGTATATTTCAAATTTTGGATCAAACAAATAGTCATAAGATAGCTTTTTAAGGTTGTTACATCATATTATTATACTACGGTTGCATGAAATCATTGCCCATTGTATTTATAATTTTATACTAATATATACCAGGTCTTAGTAATCAAATCCCACCCCTAATCAAATCCAAGGTTAAAAAATATGAAAAGTATAGTTGAAATCCCAAAAAAGAGATTGGAGTCGTTGTCGTAGCACCCCTATACCCTAGTCACTACGATGCGGTTTCCATTGACAGTAACACGACCCCCACTGATCGGAAAAGTGGCTGGGTCATGATAGTAATATCCCCACACCCTAACCACCACATGAAAAAGAAGAAGGTATGCATGCTTCATCCGCTTTTCTCCTAGAGGATAACTATAGGAAATTGATCATGTACAAATAATGTAAACACGTCATCAACCGTCTACTCTCTTGGACAGAAGATGGAGATGAACCGTAATCTCACTTGAATCTCCATTGTTTTCATACCGAGGATCATCACCACTGTGCTGAAAATTGTGGAAAGCAAACTACCCCATCACCTACCATAAACTGCTGATTGTGCACAGCATAAACTGCTTATTGTGCACAGTCTTCGCAAACTCAGCCGGTCCAACTTGGAACCAACTGGTCAAACCAGAATTGGGCACCGGCCCATCCAGTTTAGGTGGTTCGGCCGCATATTTTGAAATATATATTTAAAAAATATTATGAAATCTCAAAACACAAGAGATTTGTTTGCAACGTGTTTGAATATTTTTTATCATTTTGGCAAAGATTGGAAAGTATTTTGGCCATGAATACTTTTCACTATTTTTCAACTTCATCTAGATCTAGTTTGTTTAATCATGCTGTAAATATACTTTTCATAATTTGTTGGATGTGTTTTATATTTTTTAATTTTTTTTAACACTTTGTAGACCGATTGGGACCTGCTCAGTTAGACCGGTTGAACCAGCCGGTTCACCGGTTACTCGAACCCAATCCTAACTGGTTTTGGTTTCCACGGCTAGTTCAATTTTTCAAACACTAATTACACAACAAAGTGAAGGTGCTGAAAGAATGACATGTGTGATCTAGCTGGAGTATATAATAATTTTTTTCTTTCTTTTGCAATTCTTTTCTTTTCTTCACAATCTAGATCACTCATAAGAAGTCTTTTTTCAATATAACAACCATAAATAAAATAATACAAGCAGATCTCAAGAACTTGAAGCTACTCAAAATCACATTTTTCATTAACAAAGAAAAGATACAACATATGCTTATGAATAAAAGATATAATAAATAAATATGAAAAAAACAAAAGAGGGTGTTGGAAATTACCTCAGTCGAGCTTCTTACAACCCACACATAATCACCACGTTCTGATAGCGTGGGATGTAATGGTCAACATTTGATCTCAACCAAAAAAACAAGTTTGGACAAGCCACACAAACATTAACCACTTTCATCACAAGCTCAAACATTAGATGAATCCCCTTAGCAACCTAGTTTGAGAGAGAGATGCTTCTCTTTTCTACCACAACCCTATAGTCTAAACCCCAAAGAAAGATGAGAGATCATAAGAGAGACACCACAAGAGAACTATGGATGAAAGAGAGTGGGGCATGCCCCCTAGGGCCTTTCAAGAGAGCGAAAATTTCTAAGGAGAGAGAGAGAGATTTTAAGTGAGGCGTGCCCCTTTTGGTAGGTTATGAAAGAGAGATAGAAAGATAAAGCATAAAGATTTGGGTAGGGTACAATCATTGCTTATAATATTTGAACAAGATTAGGGTTTGTTAAGATTTTCCTTGGCTTGCCACCCATATGATAATGAATATATACCATTGACCTTGGGTAACTTGTGGGGTGAGAGATATGAGCTCTCCATTCCATAGGTGAGCCATCAATATTTTATAGAAAGTGCTAGACCATTATCCCTCACTTTCTAAACCATTTTCCTATCAATTAATTTAAATAAAAAATTAATATATCATAATATTATCATTTCTCATTTTATGCATAAGCCTTCGCATATATACTAAAAAATATAATTCAAAATTTCCTCAAGGCTCAAGCTTACTTAAAACAACACAAACTTATCTCTCAAGCCTAAAGCTTGATCTCCACAAAATAGAACATTTCTTTAGGTGGGGCGTGCTACTTATTTGGACACATAATGGGCCCCACCCAATATGCAATGGTGAGCTCAAAAGATCTATTGGACCTCCCATGCAATTATATTATTTTATATTTTTAGAAAAACATAAAATCATTATTTGAATATTTAAATCATTATAAAATCAATATCACAATTTTTATAAATCAAAATTTGATAAATAAAATATCCAGATATTAAAAAAAAATTCAAATAACAAATCTTAAAATAATATATTATTTAAATAAAAAATATTATAAAATTTGATGGAAAAAACATCCATATGGTCTAGGAGTAAATATCCACTAGGACACTCCATGTCCAACCGCGAACTACGAACCACACATGCGTTTCCTATGACCCACAGTCCATATAAGGAATCATTAGTGGGTCACCAAAAACTAACCAATGGGAAATGGGTCGTAGTCTCAGTATATGGATTTTAGGTCCCCTGGAGATGAAACCCAAGGTCATCCTGACATGATGTAATCTATAGCTCGATGGTGCACAAGGGTTATCTCTTGCACATGCATACGCTTCACCTTTAAAGGTGTTATGCTTTTCAAAAATGGCTATCAAATGTGCATGTCATGTGATGGTACAAATGATGAGGCTTTGGCCCCGTTTCTGAAGGCCATCACATACAAGGGTCACACAGTCTCTTGGCTCACTCATCTGACCATACTCCGACATCATCAAGGGATAACCCATATTACCCTCATCGATACGATTCTCATAGCCCAGGTAACATGGGTTTTACCCAACCAGACCGACCTAGCTCATCAAGCACAATCTAATATCAACAAACATCGTTTGTTTAGTATGGTCCACAAGGGACCACACTCCCACTGAATTCATGTTCCACTATATAATTTCATTTTACAAACAACTTTTAATGGCCATACGCACCCAACATGTGCTAAGTGTGTGATGGCCTATATCGTTTACCATGTGATCGCTGTGTCGATTTTCACTTGGAATCTACAATACACAATTACATTGAACAGTACATGTAGGAGGCGCGTAAAACTAACATCAAATTGGCCCTTGGTGCATTTAACTAAGAACAAAATCGGGTCCCTACAATAAAACAAGATCGAATGACTACCTTTGATAATGCCCATGATAGCCAAATTAGTGCCCCTTGATATGGTCCACCCTCTATTTGAAAAAGATTAATAACACTTTAAAATAGAAAGAAAAGAAGCCGTAAAACTTTCTCTTGTCATATAGAGGAGATCACAACGAGGGTGTGATTTGTGTAAGGTGCAACATTCAATAATCGACTTAAGGTGCACCACTATGTCTTGCTAAAAGCGGACT